TGACTCTTCCAAACAAACCAAGATGGAAAGATTTTTTTTTCTTTTTGTCCAATTTCAGCAAACATTCACTGAACCCATTAACTATGGGCAAAGCCCTCTACCCGAGGCTCCTGGGAGACTACTTCCTTACTCCTCAAAGAGAGCTGGAGCCTGGTCATAAGCTTCAGTTACAGGAATTCAGTAAGCAAGACAGAAATGGGAACTCATTACTCAGCCATCAGAAAAGATGAATACCCAACTTTTACATCAACATGGATGGGACTGGAGGAGATTATGCTAAGTGAAGTAAGTCAAGCAGAGAAAGTCAATTATCATATGGTTTCACTTATTTGTGGAACATAAGGAATAGCATGGAGGACATTAGGAGAAGGAAGGGGAAAATGGGGGGGGGATTGGAGGGAGAGATGAACCATGAGAGACTATGGACTCTGAGAAACAAACAGGGTTTTAGAGGGGAGGGGGGATTGGTTAGCCTGGTGATGGGTATTAAGGAGGGCACGTACTGCATGGAGCACTGGGTGTTATACGAAAACAATGGATCGTGGATCACCACATCAAAAACTAATGATGTATTGTATGGTGACTAACATAACATAATAAAATTTAAAAAAAAGAAAAAGAAAAAAGAAATGGGAACTCAGTCAAGCAGGGTTTAAAATGGATCCTCCTAGTAGGCAAACGTTTAGTAAATGCTTATTGAATAAATTAATGGAAAAATTCACACTAAATTAAACACTAAATGCCCTTCTATCTTAATTGGAGACCAACAGCAATGTGGTGGAGAGGATGGACTTCAAGGATAGAGTTAAACTGCTCAGGCTGAGACAGCCACCCCACCATGTTCATGTTACATCGAGCAGGATACTTAATATGCCCGGTCTTCTCATCTCTGTAATGGTGCTGTTAATGGAAGCTGTTTTGTAGGTTGCTGAAAGGATTAAATGATCAATATACAGAAAGGATTTAAAAGAGTTCTGGCTCATAATAATCACTCCACCAATGTTAGTTACCATTATTATTACTTTTGGCTAAAACATAACAAAGGTCCTTGGAGAGGCACTTAAAGACCAAATCGGTTTTAAGCACATCCACTACAACGATATTTACTATCGTAGTGTTGTAATTTTCCTGGTTTTGCCTACTCAACCACTTTCCCACCCTATTCTCAAATATCTCTTGTGCTTTCCTTTAAGGAATCATCCTTTCCAACCCTTAGTCCCTATAGGTTCCAGGGCCGGGTACCCAATCCAGATATGGAGGAAGGAAAACAAGGGTTGGTTCAGGACTGGGGACATGACCCAAGCTGTGCCACTGATATTCAGACTGGCACTTTGCTGGGACTAACAATAATGAAGTAATCAGAAAGTGAACCTGGAGCTGTTGGTGGGGAAGAAAACAGAGCCCAGCAACAAAGTAGAGATGAAGTTCCTAATCACATCATGTGACTTCTAATAAATTCCATTTTCAGCTTCATTTGGTTTGAGTGTGGCTTTGGTACTACAACCCAAAGTGTCCTGAGTAATAAGATCAGAACCAATCACTGTAAAGGTGAAAGCCTATGATATTAAGTTATGATCTCCTTAAGTCCTGTGTGGGCTTCAAGGTATCATTGTAAAAGGACTAGTTTACACCAGGAATTTTTCTCCGAATGAAAATGAAGATTATTTGTAGGGAGAGAACCATAGTCTCTCTACATATGGTGGCCAGGAAGCAGGGAATATAAAACCCCAGAAAAGTGCCCCTCCGACTTTCACACATCCGGAGTTCCTTGAGGGGCTTGCAGAAAAGGCAGGTTCAGAGGCTCCGCCCAGAAATTCTACAGCAGGTCTAGCAATCTGCGTTTCTCATGAATACCACCGGAGGGCTGACAGTTCACAGAAGCTGGTAGTCCACTTTGAGAAACACTACCCGAGAGGGCCCAATTTTGTTTAGATATTGTAGGCAAATCTAGAGTACACAAACCCAGCTGGGAAGGAATCCCCAGAAAGCTGCGAAATGAAGAAATTCTCATAATTATTTCAGGAACTAAAACAACTTCAAAGACTGAGTCTGAGTTGAAGTACTAATTCTGAAGCAAATATTGGCAAATTTGGAAGTGTCTCAGCTCTAAAACCGGAAGAGCAGAAGCATTATATCCAGTTCTTTCTGTGGCTAGTTTCTATTAAGAAAAAAAAGAGGAAGTGGTGTAGAGTAAAAACAATAATCTAAAAATTGATTTCATGCTTATGGTTTTATCAATTTCATTACAATAAACTATAGTAACTGCAGTAGATCACTGCAAACAATTAACAAAGACGACCTTTGAGAATTCATCTCCGTTTTTAACAGAGCAGCTATAATGAGCACAATTATAATAATTGGTAAGAAGCTTTTGCAGCATTTCATAATACACAAAAGACAACATGGCAAAATGAAATAGATTGTTTTCCGAGGCTACCACACAAATTTCACAAAGGAAATCTTATGCTGACTGTAATGTGTAAGGGGGTGACACAAAAGTCATTTGATGCTGTATCAGACAACATGGGAAATAGAAAACTATCTCCTGATGTGATGTTCATATTTATCTTTGTTAAGGGTCAGTGATTACAAAATAGTCAGTGATGTGCGTAAATCAGGGAAACTACCCAGCCCTTTCAACAAGGGTTCCCTAAGAAAATCAAGTCCAAGTACCATAAAGCATCCACTGTAAGCAGTGGACTGACTCTCCTATGTACTGGCAACAGCCTTGGCTCTGTACCATCCTCTGGAGGATTGAGAAAAGAGTCTCTCTGCAGAGCTTCGGTCTCTTTTGGAACCCAGTTTAGAAAGGCTAACTGATACTCTTTAAACCGAAAATACATATGCTGGGATAAATAGCTGTGCTGATTCCAAAGCAAGGTGGTCTAACAATAGTAAGTGATTCTTGAAGCAACTTGAAGTCTCAAAAATAGAACCAGAAACTATGACAGTAATATTCAGTGCTCTCAAGTCCTACTTTATGCATCAACATACAACTTTGAGCACTGAGATTAATGATGTCAGTGGAAATCACTATAGTTCCACAGAACCGCACAACAGAACTTTATAGCATGAATGTCTTGGAATGTCCAAACCCAGTAACTGTTAAATTGCCAAGTGTATCACATTATGTGGAGATCTTATACAATCCAAGGAAAATAGAGTATTATGACTTTGGCAGAACTGCAAAATAAATTCTGATTTGTTTTGTGGTAAAAACTTTGTAAAAGCCTTTCATATTTATAATGGGTTTCTGCGTAGAGATTGATGGTACCTGATCTTGATTTTTTGTGTCAGATCTGCTAACGGATCACACCGATATCCATTCTCCCTCCACGTCTAACAGAAAGCAGATTTTTAACTGCACCTATTGGGAGAATAAAAGACTGTACTTCCTGGTTTCCTTTGCAGCTAGGTATAGCCAATGACAGCAGAAGTTAAATAGAAATGTATACAAGTAGGAAAGATTTTAGTGGAAGGAGCTCTTTTCTGTACCCTTCTGCTTCCACCCACTCTCTCTCCTTTTCTTGCTGCCGAAGAATGTGATCCATGGAAATCTGACAACCACCTTGAACTTTGAGTGTGGAAGCCACTCCACCACATTGTTGCCATACAACCCTGGGCTATAGATTCCAGACTCCCTTAACATGAGAGAACAAGACACTTCCTTCGTGCTTGAGCCTTTGTGATTTTGTGTTTTCTGTTTCAAGTGGCAGAACCTAAATGTAATTAATAAAATATACATGCAGTTTCTTATTCAGTAAAGGCCAGGTGAATTAATAAACTAATAGGGATCAAATATTTGAACTGGTTTGCAACCTCTGAAATTTGAATAATGTATTTATTTGTATTTATAGATAAAAATGTATTTACTGTATTTATTTATCAAATACAAATAAAAGGAAGTAGTACTTTAGTGCCAATAAATATGGGAATAATTTTTTGCTGGTGAAAAATATATATAATTTAAAGACAAATTCAGATCAATAGTAAGTAAGGAAAGGAAGTCAGTACAATGTGTGGTATAAATGAACATTAGTGAAATTAGTATTATGGGAGACAGGGTACCATATAATATATACTTATCAAAGGTAACAGACTGGGCCAGAAAAGACATGGACTGAAATCTGACAAGCAGATATATTGTGTGCCTTTTTTAATCTGTATGGTGGTTCTTGATATCTTTGTGTGATTCATTCATTCTATGTCTATTTACATTGAATAAACCACTTCCGGGCTGAATGGAAGACTTTGGTCTTTTAGCTTTTATGTACGGCAGGTAGACATCTTAGAAAAATCCCCAGAACAACAGAAAATTATTAACATGCTTTTGATGTCCAGTGAGTCCTTTCAAGTCTCATTTTTGCTCTATACTCTCAAAAAGGCATTAAAATATTTTAAATAGATCTAGCAAAAAGGATTGAAAGCATGAGATTTTATTTAAAATAAAGTCTATTCCTCAGATTGCTTTTGATCATCCAGGAAGAAATTTTATTTCAGTGTTGTTCCATAATAATAAGAATTTTTGGTCAGTGGGATTATTTGGTCAATATTTTGGAGGAGGGAAATATTCATGTGAAATAGCCTAATCAAACTGCAGTAGCTACCCAAACTTTATCTACTCCAGTATTAGGTTGACCTTTGGGAAAACTGCTAAGACCCATCTCTTCTGTGTAATCTCAGTATTATTCTTTTAATACCTTCAAATCCGTGTTCTGTCTTCATATGCAAATATCCGTGGTTGTGTTTATGTAAATTTTCAACACACATTATTCACTCTAACTACATAAGGCAGTGGGTAGGTATCTAATTTAATTAGAGTGATTTATTCATGGTCTTCTCGGTGAGCTGTTCGATACTCTTAACTGCTTTATGTTAAGCTCAGTGGGGAAAGACCTTAGATGTTTAAGAAGATTCTATTCCTGAAAAATGATTTTTTATCACTAATTTCTCTATCACAAATATATAGCTACTGAGATGGCAAGATAAAGATACGTTACCCCTGTGACATCCATAACCTTAATGGCTGCAAGCTGGCCCGTTTTAACATGACGACCCTGTAAAGAAAAAAAAATAATAAAAGACTTCAGTTGTGATAAGCAATGTCCACATTCAGTTCCACCTATCGAGATCAATTACCTAGATCACTGTTACAGAATACAGGTGGGGAAAACGGACACACACACACACACACACATACACATCTTAGATGCTTCAAGGATCAATTTCCATTTAGTGTTTACTTTGTAAAACATCTGCATCACTTTGTTTTTGGGTTTGTTTTCATAGTGATTGTTAAGTTAACCAAAAAAAGGCAATGTTGAATAATATGGTTCTATCTTCTCTCCGAGGTGGTAAGTAAGGGCATGTGTGGGAGGAAGGGGAGGTTGGCCTGCGTGGAGGAGACATAAGTATCCCCTTTGTCAGGAAATACTTGATATGTGAAGAAACTTTAGTTTCCTGGATTATGAAAATATGTTGGATTGTAACAGTCTCAACTGGATAGTATTCTGCTCTTACTTGAGATCGTAAACATATCTTTATCTTATAAGTGAGCCTAAAATAAAACAGATAGTACTAAGTCCAAATTTGTGATCAAAGAGGCAGCTTTGAGCGTAAGCAACCACTTGCCCAAAGCAGGCCTCTTTGGTCTTTGGACCACAGAGTGGCAACCACATAGAATCAGAAGAGATTGGGGTGTGGTGAGAGGGCAACCCCAGAACAGAAGCTTTCTCTACACTTGCTCCTTGAGAAACTTAAAGTCTACATCCAACTCTCAGACGGTAGCAAGGATGGTCAATATGCATTACTTCTAAATGCATTTTATACGTGGCTTCTAAAATACATTTCAACTACGACTGCTACCAGGCAGTATTATACTACCTCCAAGATCAGCTGGATTCAAATGCCAGCTGCATGACCGTAGACCAGTCCCCTAAACTTCCCTAACCTCTAGGCTTCAGTTTTTTCATCTGAAAATGGAAACCATGGTACCTGACTCCTGGTATTGCAGTGAGGACTAAATGTGATAACGTAGATACAGTGTGTGATGGTGCCTGGCACTTGGGAGCTGTCCGCAGATGCGGCCTACAATTAGTTATGACCCTGTCTTGTGATTAATGTTAAATGCTGTCTTTCCTTCCAGGCTATATGCTTCATGAAGTCCAGGGCTATGTCTCATCATTGTATTTCCAGTGCCCAGTGGTGGGTGCTCACCCCACAGCCGGAGTGGCATGGTCATGGATGAAAACAGCAGGTGATGGAGGTATGAATGCTTGTATTTGGGAAGAGGGGATAGGTTAGGTGCTGTCTATCCCTTTCCTTCTCATCTCTCTCAGCTTTTTACACCTATTTACTCTGATTCTGGTAGCACTTCCTTCACTTTTCGACCTCCCATTCTGCTCCCTCCTTTTCCTCCTTGGTCAGGAAAGAGCTAAAAGAAGGAGGCATCAACTGGGTAACCAATATGGTCATGGGCACAACCCCTCCTACTTATTTCAACTTTCAGACAGTATGGGAAGGGCCTGGAGTGTTACCGTACAGAACCCTGGACTGGAATTCCAGAGGCCTGGCTCTTGTGCAGGTTCTGCTCATGACCAGCAGGTTCATCCGGGACAAGTGATGTAACCCATCTGGGCCCAGTTTCCCTGTCTGCAGAATATGGGGGGAAAGGGCTCAGTGGTTGGGGGTGGAGGGGCTAGGGGAGGGGGGGAAGGTATCATTGTTACCACCACCCCTTTCCACCCCAAGGAGCATTTGGAAATGCAGTTTTCACAATGAGTGGGAAGAGTAGTGCTACCACGGTTCAGTGTCCAGGAATACTAACTTCCTGCAGAGTTACCGTCACATCAGGGAGAAGTCACAACAGTGCCCTCTGTTGATAAATACTGAATGGCCTCCTGAGTTGTCCAGGTCCCAGTAAGAGTCTAGGATGCTATAACGGTGACCTTAGCAAAGGAACCAGCAGCTTTTCTGTGGGAATACAGTTGTCTCTTGAACAATGCAAGGGTTAGGGGTGCCGACCCCTGTGCCGTCAAAAATCCATGTGTAACTTTTGACTCCTCAAAAACTTAACTACTACTAGTCTACTAGTGACCAAAAGTCTTACCAATAACATAAAACAGTTGACTAACCTATGCCTTGTATGTTGTAGGTCTTATATACTGTATTCTTACGATAAAGTAAGCTAGAGAAAAGAAAATGTTATTAAGAAGATCATAAGGAAGCGAAAATACACTTACGCTATGTACTGTAAAAAATCTGCATCTAAGTGGACCTATGCAGTTCAAACTCGTGCTGTTCAGGGGTCAACTGTATCAATGTAAGGGCCAGCAATCATACCTTAACCTTCAACGTAAGGGCCAGCAATCATACCTTAAACAATGGCTGCTTCTCTACTAAAGCACTAAGGAGGGGAGGGAAACTGAAGACAAATACAGAGCATCTGGTCAGTATCCTATAGCCCATTCAACTTGCAGTTCTGCTAACGGTGCCATACAGCCAGGTAAAGGAAAACACCTGCTTGTACAGCCGCCTGAGACCTGACCCTCCACCTGCCATACCACCTTGAGAGGTTCCCATCTGCTTTTATTCTGGGATCCTTGAGACAAAACTGTTTGTGTTCTCTACATGTACTATTTTGTTTCTTACCTCTCTGGTAATGTGTTTTCTTGGCCTAAGGCACCCTTCCCCTCCTGAATCCCCAGTGAAGTTACTCACTCCTCTTAGATTCAACTCAAGTACCCAAAAAGAAAAATAAATCTTAAATGGAATCCTCCTGGTTCAAGCAGGGGCTTGACCAGCAAAGTTTGGTCTACTCTGACCACCACCTCTTTCTCTTCCTCTGTGGGAGCCCCTGAGGCGCCCCTATCAACACACAGTTTGAGAAACACTACACTTAATCTTTAACTCCTTGAGAAACAGGGAATCCTCTCGGAATGCATGATTTGTTACAAGGACACGTCAACACCTAGTTCTTTCCACCAGCAGCCTGGGAGCCCAGCACGTCTAGCCCTTGGCCCAGGCCTAAGGCCAGGGAGCAGACAGAATACCAGCAATCCCCTTTTTATTTCAAACACAAGGCATGAGGCAGTTCTTGGTTTGAAAGAAATAAATTAAATACCTGCTACTTTTTTGAATGTAGGGTATCATGTTGTTTTTGTCTTTGTTTTTATTCTAGTAACTGCTTTAATGTCATTGAAGGCAACACAGAGAAAGAAAATAACCTACTTCTCTCCCATTTTCAATTTCACTCCCAAGCTGAAGAACAGTTCTGGATGGCTCTGACAGATGACTGAATAATACACCTCAGGGTGGCAGTTGGGCTTAAATGAGGTCCTGGAGATGCAACTATTAGCAGCCTCAGCTCAGTCCCAGGCAAAGACATCCCCGCACTCTGGAATAGGAAAGTTGCTGAGCTGTCAGCCTTTGATAGAGGAGGTCCACAAAGGAGGCCTCCTGGCATGAGGGGCCTTTTACATCACTGGAGAATGTCAACGCAAATTAGGACCCAGATTAAGGCTGACTTTGAGGGAATAGCCAGGGGTCCGCTGACCTAAAGATCACTAGGAACCTGAGGCACAGTCATTGTTAGGACAGTGTTGAAAGAGGCAACTTCATAAAACCACAAATAAATTGAGGAGGAAGAGCCCCTAAGGTGCCTAATCCAATACCCTTTTAGAGATGAGGCCAAAATCTCACAGTTAATGAGAACCTACACGCAGGACACTTTCTCCTCTCTCCCACTTCAGCCATCCAGCTCCTGAATTAAAACTTCTTATCGTGAAGATTTTAAGAAATTTTTAAACAAAGCTTCTTTTTATATTTTACTTCACTGGGGAGTTAAACATTGAACCATTCATCTCTATTTCAGGTAGGATTTAAAAAATTTTTTTTTTATTTGAGGGCAAGGCAACATGGGGAGATGTTTTTATTACAGGAGAATTTTAAAGTGAAAATTTAATATTACTCCTAATTTTAATTTATTTCCACTTATGAATGGAATTTATGAAGTAATGAAAATTGGTAATGAAAAATATAATGAAAAGTAATGAAAAATATAAACAGGGATTCCATCTAAATTTGAATCTAAAATACATATTCAGCCAAGGACAAAAAAAATTTTAATTCTGGGGAGAAAAAAAAGACTTTAAAGGGAGACAAAGGGTTAAATTTTTTTTTCTCCACAAAAATTAGAAAAAATATCTTGTTGGACTGCAGTTGCTGAGTCATTTTTTAATAAAAGAAAGAAGTTTTTTTTATTTTTTTCCTGAAGTAACCAACAATAACAAAAATAAAAGACTAAATCTAGACTAAAAAGCATAATTGGTATTCCAATAGGACCCAAAGCCTATTGTCAATCATGTCCTCAAGCATAACAAGCAGGCTCACAAGGAAGGAGGAAGAATGGGCATCAAATGGAGGAGAGCCCACCAAGGGTGTGGGGTCACTTAGAACTGGTGAGTGTGGTCTGGCCCCTCCTCAGACACACATCCAAACACATCCTGCTCCCCTTCTTCCTTTCCTCTACCTCACACCTGAGGTTAAAACATATATATATGCTGATTCTCGTTCTTTACAAAATAACTCAACACTGCAGTGAAATCTAAATCACTCAAAGATTATAGTACTCTACCCCCTTTACCTCCTCCCTAAAATGAATGCAAAAGAAAAACAATGGTTTTGTCTGAAATAGCCATGTAAAAGTCTTGGCTCTGTTATTGCTGTTCTTTTCTAAGGAACAGCAAGATGGCTTTAGAGCCGCTAGCCTGAGGCTAGCCTGGAAGAAAGAGTACTTTCATTTCTAGGTCACTGAAATACATTTGTTTCCAGCAGAGCACAGGAGCAAACTGGGTTTATGGAAAATGCACACACTCTACCTACTATTTCCTTCCCTGCTGTCCAAGGACTCACACGCAGGTAGAATGTTTTTAGCATCTCGTGTTTAGCTTAGATTAGATCTCACCTTTATTGAGGAAGACTTCTTCACTTTCCTAATAGCGAGCGAGTGCCCTACCTTTGTGTTTCTACAGCATCCTACACGAACCCTACTGATCAT